CACAGGAGGTTATTCCAATTTTTTTGTATCTGTAGAGGTTTGCTTTGTGACTGAGTATGAGGTCGATTTTGGAGAAGGTTCCATGGGGTGCTGAGAAGAAGGTATATTCTTTTTTGTTAGGATGGAATGTTCTGGAGCTATAGATTAAGTCCATTTGAGTCATAGCATCATTTAAGTCCCTTCTTTCTCTGTTAAGTTTTGATCTGGCAGATCTGTCCAGTGGTGAGAGTGGAGTGTTGAGGTCTGCCACTATTAATGTGTGGGGTTTTATGTGTGTTTTAAGCTTTAGTAATGTTTCTTTTACATATGTGGGTGCCTTTGTATTGGGGGAATAAATGTTCAGAATTCAGACTTCAATTTGCTGGATCTTTCCTGTGATGAGTATGTAAAGCCATTCTTGATCTCTTTTGATTGATTTTAGTTTGAAGTCTATTTTGTTGGATATTGGCATAGCTACACCAGTTTGTTTCTTAAGACCGTTTGATTGGAAAGTCTTTTCCCAGCCTTTTACTCTAAGGTAGTGTCTATCTTTGAAGTTGAGGTGTGTTTCTTGTATGCATCAGAAAGATGGGTCCTGCTTTCATATCCATTCTGTTAGCCTGTGTCTTTTTATAGGTGAATGAATTCCATTGATATTAAGGGATATTAATGACCAGTGATTATTCATTCCTGTTATCTTTTGGTGGTAGTGTGTGTGTACTTCTCTTCTTTGGGATTTACTACTGTGGGGTTATCTATTACCTGTGTTTTCATGGGTGTATCTGACTTCCTTAGGTTGGAATTTTCCTTCTAGTGTTTTCTCTACGGCTGGGTTTGTGGATAGGTATTGCTTAAATCTGGTTTATACTTGGAATGTCTTGTTCACTCCATCTATGGTGATTGAAAGTTTTTCTGTGTATATTAGTCTAGGCTGGCATCCATGGTCTCTTAGTGTCTGCGTTTCATCTGTCCAGGTCCTTCTGACTTTCAAAGTCTCCATTGAGAATTTGGGTGTTATTCTGATGGGTTTGCCTTTATAGGTCACTTGGCCTTTTTCCTTTGCTGCTCTCAATATTCTTTCCTTATTCTGTATGTTTAGTTGTTAATTATTATGTGGCGAGGGGACTTTTGCAGGAGTCTAGTCTGTTTGGTGTTCTATAGGCTTCTTGTACCTCATAGGCATTTCCTTCTTTAAGTTGGGAAAGTTTTCTTCTATGATTTTGTTGACTATATTTTCTGTGCCTTTGAGTTGGTATTCTTCTCCTTCTTCTATCCCTATTATTCGTAGGTTTGGTCTTTTCATGGTGTCCCAGATTTCCTGGACATTTTGTGTTATGACTTTTTTGGCTTTTGTATTTTCTTTGACTGACAAAAATATTTCCTCTATTGTATCCTCTACACCAGAGATTCTCTCTTCCATCTCTTGAATTCTGTTGGCTAACCTTGCTTCTGTGTTTTCTGTTCATTTATTCAGATTTTCTATTTCTAGCATTCCCTCTGTTTGTGTCTTCTTCATTGTTTCTATTTCACTTTTCAGGGCTTGAACTGTTTCCCTCACCTGTTAAATTGCTTTTTCATGGTTTTCTTGGCTTTCTTTAAGGGATTTATTGATTTCTTCCAATTTTTTGTCTTTCCTTAATTTCTTTATTGATTTCTTCCAATTTTTTGTTTGTCTTTTTAATTTTATTTTTCATTTTTTTCTTGAAAGGCCTCTAGCATCTTCATGAAGCTATTTTTAAGGTTGCTTTCTTCTGCTTCTTCTACCTTATGATGTTCAGGTCTTGCTGTTGGAGGAGGGCTAGGTTCTGGTGATGCCATATTGCTTTTCATGTTGTTGTATCTATTTTTGCCTTTGCATCTGCCCATCTCCTCCTCTAATAGGTATAAGAGGTGCCTGTGTCTGAACGAGTTGCTATTGGTCCAATCTGTGCTTGTTGTGTCTGTGTCTCAGGGGGCCCCTCTGGGTCCAATCTGGGCTCATGTCTAATTGGAGCTGGCAGATTCTGTATCTCAAGGAGCTGCACTTGGCCTAACCCAAGCTAGTTGATTCTATGAGTCACAGAGCCACTCTTGGTCTTATCGGGGTTCTTGGTCCAGTTAGAGCTAACAGATTCTGTGTCTCAGGAAGCCTCTCTTGGTCCAATGAGAACTGGCAGATTTTATATCTCAGAAAGACACTCCTGGTCCAATGAGGGCTGGCAGATTCCCTGTCTCTGGAGATTACTCTTGGTTCAATGAGAGCTCTTGGTCCAATGAGAGCTGGTGGTTTGGTTTCTGTGCCTCAGGAAGTTACTCTTGGTCAAATGAGAGCTGGTGGTTTGGCTTCCATGCCTCAGGATGGGGTCACAGGTGGATGGGTGTTGAGGCAGGGTGTGGAACTTGTAGATTGCAGGGTCCAATGGGGGTTTTGGGTGTGTGGGAACCTTCCTGCAGGAGTTTTCCCTCCTGGCTGGCAACTGGGGCAGAGTTGGGTAGGGGTTCCTGGGGACAGGCTGTGTCCCAGGGCCTAGGACCTAGGGGCAGGACTCTGGGTATGGGAAGAGTGACTCACCTCTTGGTCCAATGAGAGCTAGCAGTTTGGTTTTCTTGCCTCAGGAAATTACTGGGGTCACAGGCATATGGGTATAGTTGTGGAGTATGGAACTAGTAGATTTCAGGGTCTGATGGGGAGTTTCCGTGGGGGGGGGGGGGGCTTTCTGCAGGAGTTTTCCCTGCTGGCCGGCAACTGGCACAGATTTGGGTGTGGGTTCCTGGGGACTGGCTATGTCCCAGGGACTGGGTCCAATAGATAATTCTTTATTAATACAAGCTTTATTGAGACATAATTCACATACTGTGCGGTTCATTCATTTACATTATGCAACTTTTATTTTTTTCCGTTTCTATTAAGAAATTTTTTGTTCATTCCACATACCAATGACAGATCCTCCCTCATCTCTCCTCCCACTTCCTCCCAGCCTTCTCCCACCACAAGCCACCTCACAGGCCCTCATCTGAAAAGGTATGGCCTCCCATGGGGTGTCTGGTACATTCAGCTGAGGCAGGTCCAAGCCTCTACTCCTGGATCAAGGCTGTGCAATTGTCCCACCATAGGCAATTGGCTCCAAAAAGCCAGTTCATGCACCAGGGACAGATCCTATTCCCACTGACAGGGGCCCCTCAAAGAGACCAAGCTACACAATGGTCTCAACCATGCCGAGGGCCCAGTCCAGTCCCATACAGGCTCCACAGCTGTCAGTCCAAAGTTCATGAGTTCCCACTAGCTTGGTTCGCTTGTGTCTGTAAGTTTCCCCATCATGGTCTTGATGCACCTTGCTCATAGAATCCCTCATCTCTTTCTTCAACTAGACTTCAGAGCTTGGCCTGGTGCTTGGCTGTGGCTCTCTAGATCTGTTTCTATCACTTATTGGATGAAGGCTCTATGATGATAGTTAGGGTATTCACCAATCTAATCACCTGGGTAGGCCAGATCAGGCACCCCCTCTACCACTGCTAGTAGTCTAAACTAGGGTCATCCATGTGGATTTCTGGGAATTTCTCTAGCACCAGGTTTCTCCTATCCCCATGATATCTCCCTCTATCAAGAAATCTCTTTCATTGCTCTCCCATTCCACCAATGTTCCAGCTCAACCACCCCATTTCCCCATGCTCATATCCACCACCCCTTACAATCCAATGCTCCCCCTCATGCCCCAGTTTACTCTGGGAATCTCATCTATTTCCCATTCCCAGGGCATTCCATGCACCCCTCTTAGGGACCTCCTTGTTACCTAGCTTCTCTTAAACTGTGGGTTGTAAGCTGGTTATCCTTTGCTTTACTTCTACTATCCACTTATGAGTGAGTACATACCATGTTTGTCTTTCTGAGTCTGGGTTACCTCACTCAGGATGATATTTTCTTTTTCCATCCACTTGCCTGCCAATTTCTTGATGTCATAGAATTTTACTGCTGAGTAGCACTCCATTGTGTATATGTACCACATTTTATTTATCCATTCTTTGGTTGAGGGTCATCTAGGTTGTATCCAAGTTCTGACTACTATGAATAATGTGGCGATGAACAACATACTTGAGCAAGTGTCCTTGTGGTATGATTGAGCATTCCTTGAGTATATGTCTAAGAGTAGTATCATTGGGTTTGAAGTAGACTGAGTCCAAATTTCCTGAGAAACCACCATACTTATTTCCAAAGTGGCTGTACAAGTTTTCACTCCCACCAATGGAGGAGAGTTCCTCTGGCTCCACATCCTCTCCAACATAAGCTGTCTTCAGTTTTTTTGATCTTAACCATTTTGACAGGTGTAAGGTGGTATCTCAGAGTTGTTTGGATTTGCATTTCCCTGATGACTAAAGATGTTGAGCAATTCCTTAAATGTCTTTCAGCCATTTGACATTCTTCTGTTGAGAATTCTCTGTTCAGCTCTACAGCCCATTTTTTAATTGGACTGTTAGGTATTTTGATGTCTAGTTTCTTAAGTTCTTTACATATTCTGGAGATCAGCCCTCTGTCAGATGTGGGGTTGGTGAAGATCTTTTTCCATTCTGTAGGCTGTTGTTTTGTCTTATTGACCATGTCCTTTGCCCTACAAAGCTTCTCAGTTTCAGAAGATCCCATTTATTGATTGTTGTTCTCAGTTTGTGCTACTACTGTTATATTTAGGACGTGGTCTCCTGTGCCAATGCATTCAAAGCTACTTCCTACTTTCTCTTCTATCAGGTTCAGTTTAACTGAATTTATATTGAGGTCTTTGATCCACTTGGACTTCAGTTTTGTGTATGCAGATAGACATGGATCTATATGCAATCTTCTGTATGTTGACATCCAGTTATACCAGCACCATTTGTTGAAGATGCTTTCTTTTTACCATTGTACAGTTTTGGCTTCTTTGTTAAAAATCAGGTGTTCACAGGTATGCGGATTAATGTCAGGGTATTCAATTAGATTCCTTTGGTCCACATGTCGATTTTTATGTCAATGCCAAGCTGTTTTTATTACTATAGCTCTAAAGTAGACCTTGAGGTCAGGGATGGTGATGCTCCTTGGGGCACAGAAGACAGCTCTTCATGTCTATGGGAGACACACAGACACCATTTCTACAACACTATATGAACTACACCAGCTCTGAAGGAAGGTGTCCCAAGCACTAACTGCTCTTACAGCCTGTCCATCAAGTCATGTATTTATGATTTATTCTTGGTGTCCAGGGCTGGAATGTCTGGTATTAGAGGCAGAGACACAAAGGAAATAACTACACAATTTATATCTGTTTTATGTGAGGAGTTTTGTTTTGTCTTCAAACAGTGTCTTGTGTAACTCAGGCTGTCCTTGAACTTGTTGAATAGCAGAGGATGACCTTCAACTCCTGAGACTTCTTCCACATCCTCTCAAGTGCTGTGATTAGAGGCCTGCACCACGATACCTAATTTGTGTGAGTTTGTGTATGTGCAGGTTTGTGTGTGCATACATGTATGTAAGCTGATGCACATGCTTGTGGGACCAGAGATTATCAGATATTGTTTCCCAATCATTTTGCCCACCTTATTTTTCTAATCAAACTTACTTGGTATCCTCCTGAAGGTCAGTAAACCTGTCAGGGTCTCTGAAGCTGGACTCAGGCTGTCAGAGTTAACAGTGAATGCTTTAAAGAGCCATTTCACTAGTCTCCACAACTTTCTTGGAATTACTTATTTTATTTTACTTGTTGAGTGTTTTTTTGTTCACACACACACACACACATATATAAATTATGTGCATTTCTAGTTCCTATAGAAGTCAGAAGATGACATCAGTCCCCTATAACTGGGGTTGCATATGATTTTTAGTCCCCATATGGGTGCTCTTAACTGCTGAACCTCCTAACCAGTCCCTCACGATCATATTTTTTGAGACTGAATCTCTCATTGAACCTGGAGATGACTGAGTTGACTATAATAACAAGACACAATCTCCAAGATCCTCTTGTCTCCATCTCCTGAGTGCTGAGATTCAAGGAATGTGCCTCCACACCTGGTCTCTTATGTGAGTTTTTAATGTTTCATTTTTTCCTAATATGGTATCAGTAACTAGTCATATTAACAAATGTTTTCAACTGAGTTGTGCCCACAAATTTCATTTTGTGAAGTCCTGTTATTTGGCACCTAAAATGCCACTGTATTTTTCCATAAGTAAACTGGAGATTTTCTAATAAATCTTAAATGAGGTCATCAGGACAGACGATAATTCCAACATTGCTGCTATTCTGATAAGAATGGGGAGTTGGGACTAGGTGTAGCTGCACATAACTTTAATCTCAGCACTTGAAAGGCTGAGGCAGGTAATTTTCTATCAGTGTGGGGACAGACTGGTGTCATGTGAGTTCCAATCCAGTCAGTGCTGCATGATGAACCCTTGTATCAAAACCAAGACAAACCAAAAAAAAAAAAGAGGGAACACACACACACACACACACACACACACACAATGAAATGAGAGCACACACTTAGGAGACGACTCTTCCAGGGCAAGAGTGAGGCTGCACACAACACCAACCCTGATGATAACTTTGCTTTGCATTTCCAGCTTTCAGAATGGTAAAGGAATAAGTTCTGCAGCTCAACAGTATGGGATTCAACCTCTGGAATGAACCCCATTAATACAGAGGAAGAAAGAAATCACAAAAGAACATCTGCCCATGCAATTCCACTTACAAGAGGTTGAAAAAGCAAATGAAATTCATCAGTGTGAGCAAAAACCAGAGTTCCATTACAGGACTACTAGAAGCTTGTGAAAGTAACTTATGCCTATTTCTTGTTTGGGGACCAAAGATATGTAATGTTTGCTAGAGGAGAAATCATTATGCAGTCCAATGATGGTTCATACACTTATCTGTCTCAATAAAGCATTTAACTAAGAACAACTATATGAGTAGAGTTCTGGCTGGTGTTCCACAGCAAAGAAAAGACTGTACAATATCTCAGTGGATAGATGTGGTAGTTTGTCTGAGAATGACCCTCATAGGCTCATATATTCGAATGTTTGCTTGCTAATTGGTGGATTTGGGGGGATGGATTTAGAGTTGTAGCTTTGATGGATGAGGAGTGTCAATGGGGGGTGGCCTTTGAAAGATCAAACTTCTGCAGGAGGCCCACTCTGCACCTCTCTGCCTGCCTGCTGTCTATGAATCTTAATGTAATCTCTCAACTACTGCTGAAGCGCCGTGCCTGCCTGCCTGATGCCAAGCTTCCAGCCATGAGAGTCATGGGCTTGCACTTTAAAACTCTAAATAAGTCCCCAGTTGAATGCTTTCTTTTAGAACCTGCCTTGGTCATTATGTCTCTTCACAGCAGTAGAAAAGTAACAAAGACAATGGACACGTACAGGAGGCTCACAGTGCCCTCTTGACCCTCAGATTCCAGCTCCACATGTCCTTACCTCTTTGGTCTGCAAACTGTCCCTCAGGGCAGGGACTGCAATCAAAACAGCAGTGGGGGACTCCCAGCCTGGGCACTTGGCTGAACCCTGGAAGGCAGCTTTCACTGCAGACAGAGCTGGGCACCTAGTAACAGTGAGCACAGTGTCACCAGGGACTCTCCAGGAATACAGATGCTTGACCTCAGCCTGAGAACCAAAACAGAACAGATGCCTCACAGAACACTAGATGACATAGATGCCTTTCAGAAAACATGTCTATCCTAACAATGCCAGACTGGAGAGATACCTTTGAGTGTAATCGAGGAAGGGTTATATCTGGCTTGCATGGCTAAGGGATTCAAAAACATAGCTAAACAGTTTGATGTGTTGTCTTTCCAGTCTCTCTGGGGCTCCTATATCAGCAATCAAAGATATGGGGGAATGATAGAAGGCTCATTGGTTCAGAGTAAAGGCTACTCTTCCAGAGGAGCAGGGTTCAATTCCTAGTACCCCTATATCAGTTCACACTGTAACTCTATTTCCAGAGGGTCCAGTGCCCTCCACAGCCTCCATAGGCACCAGGCATGCACATACTACACAAATACACATGCTGGGAAAAATCCATGTATGTAAATATAACTTGAAAAACAATTTTAAATATTGGCAGACATTACAAAGTGCTGCCATGCAGTGCTGTCAGGTCATTTTTGCTGGTGAATCAATATCATTCAGAGAAAGATCTGCTATGAGGTAAACAGCATAGCCAGTTTAACTGACTGGCCCATCCAGAGCTGCATCAACTAAATGCACAAGCAGAGATGAGGAGCCCTGGACTTAGAATTGCCCTGTCACTTTAACACATTAGGACAAGACTTATCACTGCAGTCAGGCAACTCACTTGAAGATCCTCCTTCAAATGGACCATCATTTTGTTCCCTGAAGAGATCTGAGGGTCTATCATGCCCACATGGACCGAGTGAAATACACCCTCAGGGGTCTTCTGCCATTGGAAAATGTCAAATTTTGTCACCAAATCTCCATTGGCATCAAACATAATCTTGATTCCATCAGGAGTCTTGAAGTGCACCTTCCTAAGGGCAGGAAGCAGCTGAGGAAGGAAAGGAGACATTGTAGACGGGAAAGGACCTGTCGGGGAGGTTATCCATGATGCCACATGCCATTGGCCTCTGAAGTGAAACAGTGCCACTTCAACCAAGAAGTAGACCCATTAGGTATCAAGGAGATGAAGGACCCATGATATTTTCAGACTAGCAAAAAATGTTCTAACCTTGATAAGTAATAATTCATAATAATTAACCAGATAATTTTAAATCTGTCTGTCTGTCTCTCTCTTTCTCTGTGTTTGTGTGTGTACAGCTCACTCATATTGTGTAATCCAGAGAACAACTCTCAGGAATGTTCTCTCCTGCTGTCATGTGGAACTCAGGAATCCAACTTATGCTTGTGGATAGTGCCATTACCCACTCTTCCACCTCAACAACCTTAAAATTAAACCCAAAAACCTGACAATGTGGTTCCTGCTCCAGGGTCTCATTTGGCTGTGCACTACTGTCCTCAGTCTTCCCATCACACTCAGTAGACTCCAAATCCTAGCAGGACTTCCACAGACTTCCCCAGCCCACCTAGACCACCCATTCACTCCAACCAGTCTCCCATTATTCATCAGTCCCGCCCATGTTGCTCTTCTATTTGCTCCATTCTAGGGTCTTGACACATGCTGGCCTTGCCATCTGCAATGCTATTGCTTCTACCCATGGTGAGACTTCTCATCCTCTTGTCCTGAACTCAAGTATTTCCTAACAGAGAGAATTTCTCCAACCTTTCACTTCCCTTCACTCACTCTTCAGCCTTCATCTAATTTACATCTTCTTCATAGAATACACACAGACTTCTTCATACTCACATATTTTTATTTTGTGGCAGGATTTTGCTGTATAGTTCAAGTTGCCCTTAACTGGGGATTATCTGGCCTCAACTGCCTGTGTGCTAAAATGGCAGACAAGACCCACAAAGTCTGACCTCTTGTAATTTTTAATCTGTCACCCTCAGCCAGAAAGCTAACACCTATCACTGTCCATCTGCTTTAAAACCACCTTCACCAGGCACAGAGTACAGATTCAGGTCATCTGAGTGGGAGTAATGAAAACACACAGTTTCATCACCCACTACTCTCACTGGTGACCTCACCAGGGAACAACTTGTCTTCCAAGGGGCCCCTTACAGATCTGGGCCTAGGCTACCCTGAATGGGTTGGAGAAAGAAAGAAAAAAAGAAAAAGAAAGAAAGAGAAAGACAAGAAATAAGGAAGGAAGGAAGGAAGGAAGGAAGGAAGAAGAAAGTAAGGGAAAGAAGGAAGGAAGGAAAGAAAGATAATAGATAGATAGATAGATAGATAGATAGATAGATAGATAGATAGATAGATAATAGATAGATAGATAATAGATAGACAGATAGATAGATAGATAGATAGATAGATAGATAGATAGATAGATAGACAGATAGATAGATAGATAGATATGGTGCAAGCTGCAAAAATATGTGAAGTAGGATTTTAGCTGATTATGACAAGCTAATACCTGGAAGAAGCCAAGGGCCTTCAAGAGGTCATGCTGAGGCTCAAGGAGTCTTGGTGATATTGGCTTTTGATTATTAGTCATTTCTTGCTATGAATGTCTCGTGTGCTATTGTAGATTTTCCATCATTTATTGGGTACCATTTCCCTTCTACTAAAGGAATATTTAGATAACCTTCTGTGCAGTAATGCAGTCAGGATCCCTAATTTCAGGCCTTTCTGTAATTATTGTCATTAGCAGCATCCGGCCAGGACCATCCCTGGATGGACAAAAGTATCTTATCAGAGATACCTCTGTACTCTCTAAGAACAGACATAAGTTTCTGTTTGAGAAGGCCTGGCAGATGTGCTAATTAAATTTAACTTTCTCCTTTCCAAAGTCTTATCTCCAGTTTTAGATCCACCCTTAACAATTAACTCAGAACTAAAGAATTCCTACTTACAGGTACATCCAGCTGTGACAGAGGAGGTTGCTTAACCAAGTTGCCTACCCACTGAGCATACTTCCCCCCACCCTGGCAGAAACTGTGGGAGTAGAGATAGCTTGGAGAGATAAGGGCCAAAGGGATTAAAGGCAGCTTTATTTTCAGAGGGAGGATGAGAGGGAGAAGAGAAAAGAGAATGGAAGAACTAGATGGGAAGAACTGGAGAGGAATGAACTAGGTGGGAAAGAACTAGATTGAAGGGCTAGAGGAGAGTATTAAAGGAACAAGATGAAAGATGAAGAAGAGCCAGGTGGGGAAGAACAAGATAAGGAAGAAGGAGATGGAAGAGGAGCTAAGATGGGAAAGAACTAGATGGATGAGAACCTAGATGGGGCAGAACTAAGATGAGAGAATTAAGATAGAACTTACAGGGGTCAGCCAATAAATATAGAGAGAAATCAGGCAAGAAAGGAGCTAGGCATGAGAGCAGAATAGAAGCTGTGTAGACAAAGAACTAACTCAGAAGAATGAAGTGTATGGACTAAAGAGTTTCATGTATGTAGATTCATTTCATATTGTCTAATTAATTAGATTGTCAGCTGGTTGTAGATTCTTTCCAGACTCTGGGAGAGGACTATTGAGGGGCTGGACCCCAATAGTCCCCATCATACATAGATAGATAGATAGATAGATAGATAGATAGATAGATAGATAGATAGATAGATGAGAGAGAGAGAGAGAGAGAGAGAGAGAGAGAGAGAGAGAGAGAGAGAGAGACTGGGGGCAAAATGACCAATATATATTTATATGTATATATAAATTTTTATATATCTATATGGGTATAAAATTATCAAATAATATTTTTTAAAGGAAAGTTATTAAGGACTAGGGAAATGGCTCCGTGATTAAAGCCCTGGTCATAAACACTTGAAGATCAGACTTCAAATACCCAGAACCCACATAAATGTCAGGTGGATGTGGCAGCCAGTCTCTACTTACATCCCCAAAAAGATGCAAGTAAGGAGATTCCCAGACCAAACTGGCTAGCAAGACTAGTCACATCAACAAGTTCTGGGTTTGAATGAAAAACCCTGCCCCAAAGCAACATAGAAGAGGATTCAAAGGTGATTCCTCATCATCCTCAGAAATTTCCACATGTATGTACACCTGAGTGTACACCCCCCCCTTATCCACACTCATGTGTCCACATACATGGACCATATACCAAAAAAGGAAAAATAAATAAATGGCATTGAATATTGTTTGTAATTCTGATTTGCAGTATGTCTATACTAAAAACCATCCACTGTTTACCAAAGCATAAATTTGGTATATAAAAAAAATCTACTCTCTGTTATGGGAAATATGAATTTTACTAGGCATTGTGTATTTGCAAAGTTAGGCAAGTCACAGGGACAGAACTCATCTCAGATCACACACATAGCATGGAATCCTTGTCCATTGTTCATTCTAAGATGCCTCTCAGTTCTAAGTAGGAGGTATCCCTGCTGCTGTACGCAGTCAGCTTTAACCTCCATAGCTTAGTCAGAAAGAATGTCCCCTTCTCCAACCATCCCTGAATCACCCACTCCACATATGCCTCTCTCACCTGCCAGGGCTGGAAGTCCTGAGAATCTGTAACTTTCCCATGCTGGTGCCCATGGGTTATCATGTCTTGTAGGGCATGAGCAATACTGTAGACAGCTGTGTAAGCAACATCAATTTTACTCACTTCTGGGAGAGCATACTGCTGGTTTTTCAGACTCTCATTCCCTGAGCACAAATGGACACCCTCTGTCATTGTGCTGCTCTGGTGGGGCCATGTACAATCAAAGGTGAACTCCCAAAACTTCTTTATAAACATGTCTTCTGGGGTCTGGCTGGGCCGCAGGTGAGCAAGGAACTCAGGGAAGCCAATTGCCCTGCTGCTGTGATGCAGAAGGCCAAAGGTGCTGTGCAATACTCGGGAAATGCCTGGAATGTTCAGGGCGAGCCCCATGTGCAGAGTGTCCTTGCTGACCCAGACCTGGCCTGAGACAGCAATGTCCAGTAAGCCATACAGGATGGGCTGGAAATTAGAATTGCTTAGGAAAACCAGAACAACCCTGGCTGTGGATTTTTGCATCATCTGGACAATCTCTTCAATCTTCCCCAAGGACTCATGGGAAGGAACATGGAGGGTGTACTCAATGCACACACCAGCTGTGCTCAGTTCCTGAGTGGCCAGAGAGCTGGCCTGCTGCCCAAAGTCATCATCATGGGCCAGAATGATCACCCAGGACCACTGAAAGTGAATTATCAGCTGAGGAACTGCACGACAGGATGTGAGGTCACTACTCAGGGTCCGCATGAAAGATGGGAACTGGATCTTGTCACTGAGGATGGGTAGTGAGGATCCATAACTGACCTGTCAAGGAAGAGTCAGGATAGAAGAGTGCATGAGATCTGAACTTAGGCATGGGCTGATGATCTGGTTTAAATGTAGGAAGGAAGGGGATGGAGACATGGCTCAGCAGTTAAGAGCCCTTGTTGTTGTTGCAGAGGACCCATGTTCAATTTCCAACACACACCTCAGGTTTCTCACATCGGCCTGTAACTCCAGCTCCAGGAAATCTGATACCTTATTCTTCTGTCCTCCTACATCCGTGGCATAGACTCACACAGACATATACATACACATAAATGCATATTAAATTTTAAAACACAAATAATTTTCAGGAAAGGACTTAAGTATCCTGATTTGAGAGCTGTCCTTTTCTACAAACAGCTGTGTGCCCCTCACTGGCTGATCATCCCTGACACAGCCCTGTGACTTCTGGAATGAAGCCCAGAACCATAGCTTTACCTCCTCTCCTCTCAGTATCTGTCCTTCGTCTGCCCTCTAGTATTTCATCCCTCTACCTCAGCTAGGAGGTCTGACTCTCTCGTTTGTACACAGCTGTTATGTTGTTCTTTTTAAAATTCATGTGTGTGTGTGTGAGTGTGTGTGTGTGTGTGTGTGTGTGTGTGTGTGTGTGAGAGAGAGAGACAGAGAGAGAGAGAGAGAGAGAGAGGTATGTAAAGATCAGAAGACAAATTTCAGAGATGGCTTCAGAGTGGGAATAATGGAATGTGGTAGCCAATGAGTTTGAGGGGGATGTCTCTTTGCAGGAAGATGAAAACATTCTGAAATTCACTGTCATAATCATGCCAAGATGAAAGTCACTGAATTGTTCACCTTAAATGAAGTAATTATCCTCAAGTCACTTCTTAAAACTATGAACTGAAGAGATGATTGTCATATATGGCCTCCACTGTGGGAATGACACGGATGGCTGGAAGAGATGGGAGCAAGTGGCATAAGCCCAGCAGCCTAGACTCAAATCCCAGCTCTAGTACCTACAGCCAGGAGCGTTTACAGAGAAGTTGTGTTTTGGTGGTGATATATCATGTAACCGTATAAACTTGCTTGAGGATCAGAGGACAGAGCCAGCCACTAGATTAGATGTAGAGGTCAGGCAGTGGTGGCACACACCTTTTATCCTATCACTCAGGAGGCAGAGATCCATCTGGATGTCTGTGAGTTCAAGCTTACACTGGACTACCTGAGATTGATCCAGTCTAGGAGAGAAACAGAGCCAGGCAGTGGTGGCACACGCCTTTAATCCCAGCACTTGAGATCTCATGCCTTTGCTTGGGAAGCACACACGCCTTTAATCCCAGGAAGTAATATGGCAGGGCAGAGAAAGGTATATAAGATGTGAGGAAACAGAAACTCACTCTCTTTAGACTGAGGATTTCTTAGAGGTAAGAACTAGTGACTGCCTGTTCTGCTTCTCTGATCTTTCAGCTTTTACTCTGATACCTGGCTGTGGGTTTTTATTAAAAGACAACCATAGATTCAAACAACAGGTTTAGGGGAGGGTTATTAGTTTTTTTCTCTGTATGCTGGAAAGATGAGATGTCTCCCCAGGTAAAGGTGTTTGCCTTTAAGCCTGGAAACCTGATTTTGGCTTGCAGTGCCTGCGTGGTATAGGAAAGGAACTGATTCTCAAAAGTTGTCTTCTAACCTCCACATGGGCACCATGGCTCCGGTGTTGAGTGCATATACACACGCGCGCAGGCACACACACACACACACACACACACACACACACACACACACACACACACTTACTACTACTACTACTACTACTACTACTAATAATAATAATAATAGATAAGGGGCTGGAGAAATGGTACAGTGTGTAACAGTATTACTATTCTTCCAGATGACCTGGGCTCAATTCCAGCACCCTCATGTCAGCTAAAAGACATTTGTAAGTTCAGTTCTAGGGAATTCAATGACCTTTTATGACTTCCACAGGCACCAGGTACATATGTGGTACATACATACATATATGTGTGTGTGTGTATATATATATATATATATATATATATATATATATATATATATATATACACACACTCACGAATTCAAAATTGTGGTGATATTTTATTTGTATGTTAATAAATAAAGTTTGCCTGGAGATCAGAGGACATAGCCAGGCATAAACAAAAGTCAGGCAGTGGTAGCACATGCCCTTCATCTGATCACATAGCAAGCAGAGTCTCTGTGTGTTCAAAGACACAACCAAGCGTGGTGGCACACACCTTTAATCTCAGTAACAACCATAGAGACCTAGAGGTCTTTACAGACAGGCAGTGATGAGGAAGTGAGGTGGCTGGGATAAGAGTCAATGAGAAGGCAGAACAGCAAGGCAATAAAGGCACAGGTTAGACAGGAAGAAGCTGTCAATTGGGAAGCTATGGCGGCGTGGTGAGCTAAGGTTAGCTGGTGGCTCTCACTATTTCTCTGATCTCTACAGCTTTCACTCCTGTATTTGGCTCTGAGTTTCTTATTTAATAAGACTGTTTGGAAATTCGTCTACACAAAATACTCATACCCATTAAAGAAATAAGTAAATCTTTAAAATATTTTAAATAGCCGGGCGGTGGTGGCGCACGCCTTTAATCCCAGCACTCGGGAGGCAGAGCCAGGCGGATCTCTGTGAGTTCGAGGCCAGTCTGGACTACCAAGTGAGTTCCAGGAAAGGCGCAAAGCTACACAGAGAAACCCTGTCTCGAAAAACCAAAAAAAAAAAAAATATTTTAAATAAAAAAGAACTTTCTAAGTTACCTCATAAATGAGAGGGACAATAGTTCTCTCCAATGTATCGATATATGGAGAAGAAACATATTGGGTATGGAGAATATTTGCAGGAAACCTGGCCCCACAATAGAGCTTCCAACTACTGTAACTATCACTATCACTTTCACTACCATCAGTAAGGGATTGCACAGCTTTCATGAAGAAAGAAAGCTTGAGCAACTCACCTGGGGAAACTTGTACAGCCCCAGAAGTCTGGCCATGGAGACAGACAGGGATGACCGCGTGTCCCCAACCAAGGCAGCCTGAGGAGAGCCATGCTGGCATGTGTAGTTGGGGATGGGCTCCTGCTGCCTCGTGAGAAAGCTCATTGTCTCATGGAGGGCTCCATGCACTGTGTCCCCAGAGTTTCGAATAGAGAAGCCCAGGGTCACATTGGGCAACAAGTGAGCACTCCTATTAATCTCCTCGATGGCAAAGACGAAACTCTGGGCCACCCGGTAGCCCCAGTTGGAAACGCTGAGGGAAAGAGAAGCCCACAGTCATCATCCATGATGGGATAAATGGAACAAGAATAAACACGGTGACTCAAGGGATACATGTAAAACCTACATCTATACAAATACTTGTACACAGATGTGCAGAGGCACACAGTCCAGAATGCATAAAGGGGAGTCAGAGGGAATGTGGAGACAGTAATCAGAGGGGACAGTTTCAGAAGACAGGAGGGATAATTGAAGATGTATTCCATAATCTGGATGTGGTGGCGTACTTGTTTAATGCAAGCACCCAGAAGGCAGAGGTAGGTGGATCTTTGTGAGTTGGAGACCACAATGGATTATATACTAAACACAGGAAGCCAGAGATATGTAAAGAAACCCTTTCTCCAGGAAATGAAGAAAAAACAATCTAATGTTTAATGTGGCAGTTTGAACGTAATTGGCCCCCATAAGCTCATAGGGAGTGGCACTATTAAGAGGTATGACTTTGTTGCAATACACATGACCTTGTTGCAGAAACTGTGTCATTATGGAAATGGGCTTTGAGGGTTCTTTTGCTTAAGCTATGCTCAGTGTCACAGGCAATTTCCTGATGGCCTTCTGATCAAGATGTAGCCAGCACCATGTCCAATGAACACTGCCATGCTCCCTGTAATGATGGTAATGGACTCAAATTCTGGAACTGTAAGCTGCCACTTCTGTTAAATATTTTCCTTTATAATAGTTGACATGGTCATGGTATCTCTTCACAGCAATAGAAACTCTAACTAAGACATATAGTATGGTTGGTTACAATCAACAGAAACTAACATCTATTTCAGAAGTGCTGAACCTAAGAGCCAGAAGACAGGGAGAAGAGATGTGAAATGCTGTCTTTAGGCCATGACTCAGACATTTGCAGACATGTGAGCCTGTCAGCAACCAATCATGCAGTGGAAAATTCCTTGTGTGGACCTACTCTTCCCTGCTGAACTATTGGCAATTAGCATATTTTGGAGAAAAGATATTCGTTGTCTTCAGTCATGTACCCAACAAGTGAACCCACCAAGCTTCAGTGGACAGTTCCAAACCTACAGTAACACAAACGGCCATGGTTAAAATCAGTGGGTCACAAAACAAAACAAAAAAAAGAGGGAATGTCAGGTGTAGAAGGAAAAGAGACTGGGAGAATGAGAATTTTAAAAATGCACTATAAACACATATGATAACTTCAAAAACAAATGTAATAAAATTTTAAAACATTTACAAAATAAACAATAAATGGATTCAACAGGTCACATTTATATAATTATGTATTAGTTCACATATTTATAGAATAATAATAATTAAAGAATAAAATAAATTTGAAGAGAGGTATATGAGGGGTTTGAAGGGAATAGATATAAATAGTGGAGGGGCTGTTGAGAGAGGGTCTCTTTGGAAAGCCATGTCTGGCCTGGATTCAAAGAGATATACCTGCCTCTGCCTCTTGAGTGCTGAGATTAAAAGCAAGTGCCACCACATAGAACTGATGTTAATTTCAATTAACTTTTTAAATGTTCATGTTGAGAGTAGATTTGTTTTCATTTTGAGGCAGAGTCTCCATATCACTAAGACTAACCTCACAGTTACCATATACCCAAGAATGATATTGAACTCCTTTTACTTGTGTATATGTATACACACGTTTTGGCCGAACGTTGACTTCTAGTATCTATTTCAACCATGCTCAGCATGTGTGTGTGTGTGTGTGTGTGTGTGTGTGTGTGTGTGTGTGTGTGTGTGTGTGTGTGTGTGTGTGTGTCAGAACTGGTACATATGTCATGGGTGTTTCACCATGGAGGGCAAAGACTGATGGGATTTCAGGATATCTTACTCAATTGCTTCTCCACCTTTTAAAGAACATTGATCTGTGTGCATGTGTGTATATGATGTGTCTGTAGACTCATACATGCTACCACACATAGAGGTCAGGGAACAACTTTGTGAGTCTATTCTCTCCTTCCACCTTTATGTGGGTTTCAGAGAGGGCTCAGGTCATACATAAGGTTTGCATGCGAAGTACTTTACCCTACAGGCATCTCAATGTTCCTTTTTCACCTTATCTTTCAGACAGGTTATCCCATTGAACCTGGACCTCATCTATTCAGATAGGCTGGCCGGATAGCGACCATTGGAATCTGCCTATCTCACTGCTCCTAGCCAGGATTACAGATGTTCACCTGGGTGCTAGGAATCAAGCTCAGGTCTTCACACTTGCACAGTAGACACGTCATAAACTCAGGCATTTTCCCAGACCCTAAGACCTTCACTTTCAGCTTCTCCTGTCTCCCATTCCCACATTAGATTTTAAACGGCCACATCACCAAAAAATAAACATGCGAATTGATGGGTTTGTGAGTGGGAGAGATTGATTACCACTCTATAATGTATACATTTATTAAAATATTGCATGATACCCAATACATGCATATAATTATTAGTCATTGGCTTTAAAAAAAAAACAACATGGGATCCAGGTATGGTGGCAAACACTTGTGATCCCAGCACTCAGGTTGGGGAAGCAGGAATATAGTGAATTCTAGGCTAGCCTCATCTACACAGTTAGACCCTGTCTTAAAAAAAAAAACAGGATAGCCAATGTGTCCAATGTGGTGGCTCATGCTTGTAATCATGTGTTAAGGGCTAGCCTGAACCACACAAAGCATTGCAAGCAAGTCCGAGCACAAAATGGTATACTGTATCAAAAAGGTTTAAAAAGTCATTTAAACTGATGTTAAATATGAAAATGCAGAAGTGAAACTCTCTTAATTTTCAGGCTGAATTCAAAGTGATACTAGTTTCTTTAGAAAATACTCTAACAACCTTTTTTGACTCAGATCTAATTATGTAATCCAAAATTGCCTGAAACTAACAATTCTCCCTCCTCAGTTTCCTGAGTGCTATGAGTAAAGCCATATACTCTATACTCAACCATTAATGCAAATAGAAAAATAAACCTAAATACAGCCAATTAACTAATAGTAACAAAAAGGCTTGTGCTGAAAACCACTGTGTGTAACAGTATGTTGGAAAGTTGGCACAAAAAAAATCCAAAATGGGGTTTTGGGTTGTGGCTCTTTTCATAGAGTTGGATCTGCAGCACCTCATAAAGTCAGTGTGGCTATACACTCCTATAATCACAGCAATCAGGAGGTAGTGGCTAGAGGAACAAAATTCAAGGTCATCGTTGACTACCTACTGAATTAGAGACTACATGACCCTTAGGAAAAATAACAGGCAAAAGGAGTACAGTACAGATAAATGATTAAGGCTGTTAAATGATAAAAAAAAATCTATTATTTACACATGAATTCATTCAACAAACACACCTATCTAAACATCACTTTAGGAACAAGTAATATAAAAAAGAACCAAGAATTGCCCCCTCGCCTGTGGAGCACATACATTACAGCCAGTACAGGAGCAGCTAGATTTCAGTCTGGTACAAACAAGAAAGATGACAGACAGAGGTGATGGAAAAGAAAACAAAATAAAGCTTACTGCATGAATACACAGAGAAAACTGGTGGCCATCGATCTGAAATTATGAGAATCAACCCTTATCAAAGACTTCACACAAGCTTGTAAAGCTGCTTCTGGATTTCAGAGATTCCTATACCACATCCAGCACTTACCCTGAAGCCACAAGTTCAGACGGTGGGGCAGTGAAGTCAGACAGGTTACCAATAGAGAGGTAAAAGATGGAGAAGCTGCCCCCCACTATTACATCTCCAGGACGGTCAAAGTGAGGCCTCTGCCTTGGCAACAGCCAGGATCTTGGTGCAGAAAAGGTAGACCCAGAGAGACAGCCACAGAGAACAGGAAGGAGAGTACACAGCCACATGCCTGCTGGGGGCCAGACAGCCAGTGACAGGAAAGCCCCACATGGGGCGATGGTTCGCAGTGAAGGGGACTTTTATCTGGGATACTGCCCTTGATCAAGGACCTCAGGCTAGGACCACACTGGGAGCTAGAGGTTTACAGGCTGTGGGGAGAATATTGATCAGGAGGTGGTGGAGGTGGGTGCTCACTAAATCCCAGAGCCATTAAAAGTTTTATCCCCTTCTCCTGAGGCTTCATGGCCTCTCTGCATCCAAGTTCACAGCTCTGGGCATCATTTGCAGACTACAGTAAGGGCAACAACAGGTCTGATGGTCTCCTAGGGGACTTGCAAGTGCAGGATCATCTGTGCTCAGGGCACTGTTTTGTAGCGAGACCCAGGTAGGTACAAGAAGCAAATACCCAAGTAGCTAAAGTGGAATAGTTCTTTCAAACTCTGTTTCTATACTATGTTGATCCACAAATCCATGTTCTCTGTGGTCTTTGCAGTTCTTTAAAAATTTTATCATGGAGCATATGGACATATATAAAACCAAACAGCAGAAAACAATAAATATCTATGTCTTTGTAGAGTCATGAGAAATCCTCCCAAGTGACTGAGCCCTTTTTCTATCATTTGAAAACAGATCCCAAGGTTGCCAAAGGTGGTTTTCAGGTAAAATCACTTGATACACAAACCTGAAGACCTGTGTTATCCCAAGAACCCACATACAGGTAGAAGGAGAGGACCAACTCTACAAAGTTGTCCTCTGTCTCCACATGCAAGCCATCACACACACACACACACACACACACACACACACACACACACACACACACACACACACACACACACACTTCATACATACACAAATAGATATATTCAAGTTAGAAGACAAATTTCAAACTCTGTTGCTCCAGCAGATAAGTATAATTCTCTAACATAACCAGAATCCCCTTCTAGAGGTTAAAGATAGAACCAAAGTGATGGCTCAGCTCCTTAGCAAGTAAAGGCAGCCTGATGACCCTCATTGAATCTCCAGACTCTGCGTGATTAGAGAAGAGAACTGACTTGTGCAACTTACCCTCCTCATATGTGCTCTGGCACTTGAATATCCAAAAACCCAGATCCACACATGCACACCAATCTGCCCATCAATAAATGTATAAAATTAAAAAGAACTAGAATAAATGAGCAATAACTTTAGTCCACTGATATTTCAGCCTACCTGTATTTAACTTCCACTTTCAAAAGTTTGATCTTTTCTCAGATTAAAATATAATGGAAGTCCACACTGTAATAGATGGATAATTTTTTTCATTCTATGTTCTCTTTATTGTTGTGTTCTTTGTTTCTTTTTTTTTCATTTTTCTTTATTAAAAAATTTTCCACATACCACCCACAGACCCCACCTCCTCACTCCTCCCATCTCCCAGCCCTCCCTACCAAGCCACCCCACATCCCCACATCCCCCAAATCAAGGTCTACCATGGGGAGTCAACAGAGCCGGCTCACTGAGCCTAGGCAGGTCCAAGCCCCTTCCCACTGCACCAAGGCTGTGCAAGGTGCCACACCACAAGCACCGGATTCCCAAAAGCCTGCCCATGCACCAGGGATGGATCCCGATCCCCATGCCTGGGTGTTCCCCAAACAGTTCAAGCCAAATAACTGTCTTCCATATCCAGAGGGCCTAGTCCAGTCCAGTGGGGGCTTCACAGCCACTAGTCTACAGTTCCTGGGCCTCCAATAGTGTGGCCGGTCACTTCAGCATTTCTTCCCATCATGATCTCGACATTCCCCACCTGCAGAATCCCTCCTCTCTCTCATCGATTGAATTCCCAGAGATCAGCCTGGAGCCTGGCCATGGATCTCTGTATCTGCCTCCATCAGTCTCTGGACAAAGGCTCTATGATGACAGTTAGGGTATTCACTAGACCGGTCACCAGAGTAGACCAGTCCAGGCACCCTCTGGACCACTGCCAGCAGTCCAAGGTGGTATCACCCTTGTGGGTTCCTGAGAGCCTCTTCAGCACCCTGCCTCTTCCTTTTCTCATGATGTCCTCATCTATCATGGTATCTCCCTCCCTGCCCTCCCACTCTGTCCCTGTTCCAGCTTGACCCTCCCATTTCCCTATGTTCTCATCCCTCACTCCTCGCCCTCTGCCACACACCCCCACACACACACCCAGTTCATTCATGTAGATCTCATCCACTTCTCCTTCACAGGGTCATCCACGTGTCCCTCCTAGGGTATATCCCTGTTAGCTAGCCTGTCTGGAGCTGTGGGTTGTCGTCTGGCCATTCCTTCCCTCACATCTGGTATCCACTTATGAGTGAGTACATGCTATGTTTGTCCTTCTGAGTCTGGGTTACCTCACTCAGGATGATATTTTCTAGTTCCTTCCATTTGCCTGCAACTTTCTTGATATCATTGTTTGTTACTACTGAGTAGTATCCCATTGTGTATATGTGCCACATTTTCTTTATCCATTCTTCAGTCGAGGGGCATCTAGGCTATTTCCAGGTTCTTGTTTTACAAATAATGCTGATATGAACATAGTTGAGCATGTGTCCTTGTGGTAAGATTGAGCATTCCTTGGGTATATGCCCAAGAGTGGTATAGCTAGTTCTTGAAGAAGACTTATTCTCAATTTTCTGAAAAACTGCCATACTGATTTCCAAAGTGGCTGTACAAGTTTGCATTCCCACCAACAATGGAGGGTGGTTCCCCTTGCTCCACATCCTCTCCAACATAAGCCGTCTTCAGTGTTTTTGATCTTAGTCATTCTGACAATGTGTTTTGATTTACATTTCCCTGATGACCAAGGATGTTAAGCAATTCCTTAAATGTCTGTCAGCCATTTGAAATTCTTCTGTTGAGAATTCTCTGTTAAGCTCTGTAGCCAATTTTTTAATTGTTCAGTATTTTGAAGTCTAGCTCTTTGAATTCTTTATATATTTTGGATATCAGCCCTCTGTCAGATGTGGGGTTGGTAATGATCTTTTCCCATTTGTTAGGCTGTCATTTTGTCTTATTTACCGTGTCTTTTGCTCTACAAAAGCTTCTCAGTTTCAGGAGGTCCCATTTATTAATTGTTGCTCTCAGTGTCTGTGCTACTGGTGTTATATATAGGAAGTGGTCTCCAGTACCGATGCATTCAAGACTACTTCCTACTTTCTCTTCTATTAAGTTCAGTATAAATGGATTTATGTTGAGGTCTTTGATTCACTTGGACTTGAGTTTTGTGCATGGCAACAGATATGGATCTATTTGCAATCTTCTGCATGTTGACATCCAGTTATGCCTGCACCATTTGTTGAAGATGCTTTCTTTTACCCATGGTACAGTTTTGGCTTCTTTGTTGAAAATCATATGTTCATAGGTGTGTGGATTAACGTCAGGGTCTTCAATTCGATTCCATTGGTCCATGAGTTGGTTTTTATGCCAGTACCAAGCTGTTTTTATTACTATAGCTCTATAGTAGAGTTTGAGGCCAGGGATCATGATGCCTCCAGAGGTTGCTTTATTATACAAGATTCTTTTAGCTACCCTAGGTTTTTTGTTTTTCCATATAAATAAGTATTGTTCTTTCCAAGTCTGTGAAGAATTGTGTTGGGATTTTGATGGGGATTGCATTGAATCTGCAGATTGCTTTTGGTTAAGATTACCATTTTTACTAAGTTAATCCTACCTATCCATGAGCATGGGAGATCTTTCCAATTTCTGATATCTTCTTCGATTTCTTTCTTCCGAAACTTAAAGTTTTTATCACACAGGTCTGTCACTTGCTTAGTTACAGTTACCCCCAAGGTATTTTATATTATTTGTGGCTATTATAAAGAGTGATATTTCTCTGATTTTTTTCTCAGCTCATTTATCATTTGTATATAGGAGGGCTACTGATTTTTTTGAGTTGATCCTGTATCCTGGTAACTTACTGAAGGAGTTTATCAGCTGTAGGAGTTCCCTGGTAGAATTTTTGGGGTCTCTAATGTATACTATCATATTGTCTGCAAATAGTGAAAGTTTGAATTATTCCTTTCCAAATTGTTTCCCCTTGATCTCTTTTTGTTGTCTTATTGCTCTACCTAGAACTTCAAGTACTATGTTGAGTAAGTATGGGGAGAGTGGACAGCCTTGTTTTGTTCCTGATTTTAGTGGAATCGCTTTGAGTTTCTCTCCATTTAACTTGATGTTGGCTGTCGGCTTGCTGTAAATTGCCTTATTATGTTTAGGTATGTTCCTTGTATTCCTGATCTCTCTAGAACCTTTATCATTAAGTGGTTTTGGGTTTTCTCAAAGGATTTTTCAGCATCCAATGAGATGATCATGTGTTTTTTTTTTCAGTTTGTTTATATGGTGTATTACATTGACTGATTTTCATATGTTGAGAAACCCTTGCATCCCTGGGATGAAGCCTACTTGATCATGGTGGATAATTGTTTTGGTGTGAACCAGAATTTTATTGAGTATTTTTGCATCAATGTTCATGAGGGTGATTGGTCTGTAATTCTCTTTCTTTGTTGCATCTTTGTGTGGTTTGGATATCAGGGTGACTGTAGTATCATAAAGGGAATTTGGTAATGTCCCTTCTGTTTCTATTGTGTGGAATTTGAAGAGTATTGGTATTAGCTCTTCTTTGAAAATCGGGTAGAATTCTAGGCTGAAACCATCTGGTCCTGGGCTTTTTTTGGTTGGGAGATTTTTTAATGACCTTCTATTTCCTTAGGGGTTACTGGTCTATTTAAATAGTTTATCTGGTCTTAATTTAACTTTGGTATGTGGTACCTGTCCAGAAAATCATCCATTTCTTTCAGATTTTCCAATTTTGTGGAGTACAGTTTTTTGAAGTATGACCTGATGATTCTCTGGATCCTCGTTGTCTGTTGTTATGTCTCCCTTTTCACTTCCCATTTTGTTAGTTTGGATGATCTCTCTCTCTCTCTCTCTCTCTCTCTCTCTCTCTCTCTCTCTCTCTCTCTCTCTCTGCTTTTTTGGTTAATTTGGATAAGGTCTTGTCTAT